CTCCCATGACATCACCTAAATCCCCAAGAACCTGAACTCTATGTTAACTGGAGAGGAAATTATATGGATGTTCTCATGAGCGAGTTGAAGTTCAAGGCACTGCTTCATGCAAACCTCTCCTCTGTGAAATGTGTAGACCTCTACTAAACAGAGCAATGACAACATAGAACACATACTTGATAAAATTGTATTTTTTTACAGTCATTTGTACAATTTGTTACAAAACCATAGAAGACTACAACTTGTTTTAAATCATTTTTGGTCGGCAAATATGTAAAATTTGTGTGCAATTATCATGTATTTACAGGGCCTCATGTTAGTCATTTTCAATGATTATTCCAACAATGTCACACTCTCAACATAAGACATGGCTTAAGATAAATATATTAGTAAATAAATATTCTGAGAACATATTTCCATAAATGAAATGTGCTGCTATACATATACAGAATATACATAAGTTGTTTTCTAGCCTTTAAAACATTTTTTAAAAATGGTAATGTTGGAGAAGGAGCCCTTAGACCATTTTATTACAAAATCTTTACAGCAAAGTCTTTACAAAATATCTTTTAAGTGCTATGGGAGAAAATTAAAAAAAAAAAAAAAATTTTAAAATAGTGCCTTGTTAGACCAACACAATAGAGTTTACATATAGAAAAAGGCGGTTCTGTTTAAAAAATAACACTCTTGATTAGTAATTATTTTTTAGACCTCAGTTTAAAAGCATTAGTCCTGCATGAACTTTGAGTAGAAACTAGCAGCACAAAAGGGAGGGTCTGAGCGGTGGGACAGCAGATGAGGCTTTAAAAAATGGCTTGGGTTCAGATGAGAGGGGGAAAAGAGATTGAGTTAAAGCCATCATACGGGGGCTGTGTCTACAAAGAGGTACCTTGTTGATCAGAACTCCAAACCCCTATTTAACTGGTTTTAGCAGTCTTCAGTTTGCATGGCTATCCCACACACCAGGGCTGGGCCATGGAGCCACACCCACGGTCACACTCCAGTATGTGGGGGGCTTCTCAATGGAAAAAGCGATGCACCCAGCTTCCACAGCTATAAATCCTCACATACTACTGAGAGGTCACTGAAAAAGGTACTTGTCATAATGACTGGAGTCTTACAACCTCACAAGACATTTCTTTTGATTTAAATGGTGCGGCAATAACATAGTTGGTTACTATATCCTGGTGACCTCCCTGTCTGATGAGCCAACACAAATTTAAGAGAATGACTGATATTTAAAATTTAACATTTTCATTTTTCTGTTTCTACCACCCTGTAAACTACAAACATTAAATGTGCTTCTTTTGTCATCTCTAGTTATTGTTCATTTAAATGAAAACTTAACAAATTATTTTAATAAGCCCAGTTGAAGCCACATTCTCTGCTCATCTATTTATTGCTTAAGGCTATTTAGGAGTGATTTTCCAGCTAAGGCTAAAGAAAGCCACTTTGGGGGTATAGTTTCTCACGAGGAAGATAATATGCACTCAAAGACATTAAAAACAAACAAAACCACAAACAAAAAAAACCTCAACAATGAGAAGCTGCTTTTTGCAGTTCATGTTAAAAGCCATACCCACAACCCCCTTTCCCCAAAACCATGTAATGCAAGCTGTTGTCCTCAGCAGCTGCTACTCCTGGCTGGAGAAATAAAGGCGGCCCAGATCACATGTCAACAGCTTAGGCACTTCTCACACCCTCGCCAACAGGTGTGCTGGGCACGGGCCTGGGGGTAGCGGCTCCCGAGGGACTGCACCTCAGAGGCTGGAGGACAAATCTCACCACAGTGAGTTCCTAAATGGCAAGTGGCTCAATCATTTGACACTGGAATTTCCTTCTGTCACATCCTGGCTAGAAGTTAAGTAAATTTCCTCATCACAGAACTGGGGTTTTTAAGAAAAAAAGATTCTGATACAGTGAGATTTTCATTCAAAATGTTCTGGTCCGGACCCTGGGCTGACTCCCCCTGTGCTTTACTGGATAGGAGTCATCAGTCTCCTGGCAATGCAGGGTAGTCTCTATTTCCCCACCCACAGAGGGCCAGCTCCCAGGGTTCCTATTTCACAAATGAGCTTTCAGGTGGCACCAAATATCTGCCCAGTAAATGAATAAACAGAGGTGACCAGAAGAGTTTAGTGAACACAGGGCTAAAGTGATTAGTTTCTTCTAAAAAAGAATTTTAAGAACAAGAATTACATTAAACAAAAAGAATGACAATCCCTGATCTGAAATAGCTTTAAATAGATTCTCCCTTTTAAAATGAAAATACCTTTTTAAAAAATGGTTTGGGTTTTTAAACTTTCCCCCCAAAAAAAAAAAAAAAAAAAGCAACCACCACCAAAGGCTGGAAAAATATATAAAAACCTACCCTTTGGGTCTAAACTATCTGATAGTCTCTTTCTCTGTCTCATGGAGAATCAATACATAATAGTGCATTAGGAAGAAAGGATAGTAGACATTTGCAGGTGAGATGAGAAACTTCAGCCCCGAGGCAGAGGGCTGAATGACCCTGAAGCAGTGCTTCTGTAGTGAAATGGGATGGGAAACATTATCATTCAAATGAAGCTTGGTGCAGACCAGATGGGGTCCTACCACCCCCAGGAAGGCAGCCCAAGGAAGCAGCAGTTCCTGCATGCCCTCTGTCCCCTGCCCAATCAGACACCAAGGCCGCAAACTACATTCCTCCTGGGTGTTCGTCCCCACATACCCCATCAACCATTTCTGCAGCCAGTTGCAGGAAGCCCAATATCAGGACTGTGAACTCTGTCCTATACCTTAGGATGATAATTCCAGGGGGGCAGACTTGTCTGTCACCCTGGGGCTTCTGGGGCTTGTCCCAGCTCCCCAGACCTTCCACACTATTCCCAGCTGTTTCCATCACTTGCCTAAAAGGTGTTGGCTGGAGAAGCATGGCTTCCGAGAAGACCTGAAATTCTGTATGTTGGGATTTGCCATGAGAAAGAAAGAGGCAGCATTGCATTGTTCCTTAGAGTTTGTACCCATATCGACTAGCTTTACTTCAAGTTTCTGGTTCATTTTCTAAGGCAGGTGTAGCCCTGAGCTTTTCAAAGGCCTGAGCTCCCTCTGGGGAGACAACAGTATCTATACATGATGTGATTCAATTAATGCAGCAGTGATTTTTTTTCTTTTCAGCAAAAGTTGGCGGTTAGGGTTCTTTAAAATATATATTTAAATAACTTTTTACATTTACATATAATATCTTAAAAACAAAGCCGAGAATTCAATCCCACACACCTCGGAACCCCAAGCACACACACTTTACAAAAAAGAATAACATGTTATCAAAAGAGTCAAAAACTTGAGAATTTTGTCTGTTGATTTGTTAAGGGGGATGGGGGCGTTGCCACAGGGGGCTCACATTTTGGGTTGAGGAGGGCTCTCTTTATTACCACGTTTGTGTTTATCAAAGCTAAAAAAATTTTTTTTTTCTGAAGGAAGTCAAGAGTTTGGAGTCTCCGTATAGTTCCCATTTCCACACAAGAGTTCCTTCTGGGCTCAGGCTCCCATGCCACTGCTGTCTGCTGTGCGAGATCTCTGTCCTGGGAGAGAGAGAACAATCATCAGGGGAGGGAGCCAGCAGCGCAGACACAACGACACAGGGACCAGGCAAGGGACTTGGGTGCCCATGCCCGGGAGGTGTCGCAGACTCTTAGGAAGTGACAGGTCACAATACTGGATAGACTGTGCATGTGGTAAAAGGCTTAAGGAGACCCCCTCATTCTGTGCCGAAAGCAGAGGTACCTCCTAGAGAGCTGGCCTCTCTCAATGGATGTGCAGAGCCTTCTGGAAGCCCTTAGGGTAGCATGAAAACACAATGTACAAAAGATGTGCATCAGGCACTGTTGTAGGCACTGGGAAGAACAGGGGAGAAGACCCCCCTCACAGAGCTTACAGACCTCAAAACAAAGCAATTTCAGGTTGTGATATTCTGAGGAGGAAACAGGTCTAAGAGTAACCTCGGAGCAACTGGAGGGTGTCACTTAAGCTGAAATCTGGAGGAGGGAAGCAGCAAGGAGGTCTAGAGGCTGGAATGAGCTTAGCACACTGGAGGAACAGGACGGAGGCCACAGGGTGCTAAAGTAGCGAGCAAGGAGAGCGAAGCAGGTGGTCAGAGGGGCAGGCAGGGGCCAGGCCACAGAGAACTGGGTGAGGAGTTTACATTTTCAAAATTCTAAAGGTCATGGCAAGTCACTGAAGGGTTTTCTAGTGTAATATAGACTTTATGTTCGAAAAAGACTACTCTGACTCCCACGTGGAACACAAGGCAAGACTAGTGACAAGAGATCAGTCAGAGGATAATAGTGCTTTACTCTGGAGAGAGGAAATGGGCCTAAGGAACAAAGGTGGGGACGCAGAGACAGATGTACAATATGCTTTGGATGTAAAACTTGTCACAGTGCTACTCCGAGGTGCTGGACTGTACACTGTGTATTACTGAGACAAAATGTTTGGAACCTTTATAGCAATTTGATGATGCCTGCTGAATCTAATAATAAAAATTCTGCAATTGGATTTGACATGTCTCTGACTAAGTTTCACTTTTCTGGGAATTCAATTTTCTGCACAATTCTCGCAGACAGGACACTGGAGTATGAGGAGCAGGGCAGGCTCAGAGATGGCGCCTGGACTTTTGGCCTGAGCATCTAGGTGGGGAGCCTTGAAGAATGGGGGCACAGAGGGAGGAATCAGAGCACTGCTGTGAACCTGACAGGTTGGGATACTTCATGGCATCTCGGGTGAAAAATTATGAAAGCAGAGGGCCCAAAAGGTCTGGAACTCAGAGAAAAGGACAGGTTGGGGAATAACATTTGGAAGTCATCAGATACAGATGGGTGTTTAAAGTCAAGGGCACAAAGGGAGTCACTTAGAAAATGATCAGAGAGAGAGAAAAAGACCTCAACTCTGGCCTTCTGTCATCTGCTCTCACCTGCAGCCTGAGTGGCTGTGGTGCTGGACTCCTGAATGTCCTGGGAGGCACTGGGGAAGCTGACCCTGGTGGCCCTTGCCTTCTCTGGAGGGCAGCCAGGCAGCAGCGGTGCCCTGGGCTGGCAGCACAAAACCCGCTCCTCTTCCTGGGCTCCTCCCAGGCCCCTATGGGGACTCAGGGAGTCAGGGCCCAGTGTCCCACCCCAAGGGCCGAGGCCAAGGGTCCCTTGGCAGTCCGAGGGCAGGCCCAAGTCACAGTCCACATCCTCTGGAATGATGGGGATGCGCTGGCTCAGGTCCCGGGCCCCTGGGTGGCAGCTGGGCGGAGGATCCTGGGCAAGTGTGTACTGCACACTCACGGAGCAGTCCTCAGTGTAGCAGCCACTGCCCCCTCCACCACTGTGGGCCACCTGCTTTTCTTCATAGAAGCAGCAGGGCAGGCCCTCATATTTCACCCCGTCTGTCCTGGGCAAATGGTCTGGGTGAAGGCTGTACAGGCCCTGGGAGCTTCCTGGCTGTGACTCTGCACCTGTGGGGCCACAGCCCTCACAGAGGGGGGGACCCAGGAACAAGGTGCTGCCCCCAGCTGCTCCTACGCTGGGCTCCAGTGCAGAGGACTGGGGCTCACAGCAGTAGGCACACGATGGCCCATCATGGCCCCCCTTCCAGGTCCTCCTGAGGTCTGGGGCAGCCCCAGAAGCCTCGAGCCCCACTTCTGAGGTAGAGCTGTTGGGCCCCCTGTGCTCCAGGGAGGAGTTGCTGCTGTAGTTCATCTCCAAGCTGCAGGTGGACAGCTGGTCCCCCAAGGGAGAGGCAGGGCCTGGCCAAGGCTCTCCACGCACAGCACCTTGACTGTGGGCTGCCGGGAGCTCCTCGGGTGGCTGGGAGCCCTCTAGGTGCACGATGGGCCCCTGGCCCGAGCTGCCTGAGCCGCCCACGTCACTGATGCGACAGGGGCTCCGGCTGCGGTAGATGAAGGGGTCATAGTCGCTGCTGAGGGAGCTCCGGAAGGTTGAACAGCTCCCGTACACACCCTGGTTGCTGACCTCAGTGCAGTCCACCACCGAGTCGCTGGAGGAGCAGTGACACTGGCCAGAGCTGCTGCTGCTGCTGCTGCTGTCACTGCCCGGGCAATCAGCCAGGTAGCCGCTGCACACCGAGCGGTGGCCATGGTAACAGCTGAAGCTGGATGTGCTACCACTCTCCAGGTGGGAGGGTGGGGTCACGTGCACCACGGTGGGGAAGAGCAGGCTGCCACTGCCACTTGGGGGAAAGGCACGGGATGGACCCCTGGGAGCGAGGCTAGGTGGAGTCTGACCCTCCTGCTCAGGATAGCTGAGGCCCTGGAAGTAGTAGTGTTGGTACATGGTCTCATACTGGGAGAAGCAAGCTGCCTTGGAGAAGCTGCGGCCGCTGAACTTGGGCCTGCGGAAGGGGTGGGCTGGTGAGTAGGCCCGGTGCTCCAGGCCGCAGCGGTGAGGGGCCAGGGTGTGGTCCAGGTGGAGGGGTGGGTAGCTACGGATGTAGGTGGGGGTCTGTGGTGAATAGAGGCTCTGTTCCCCATGCCGGTCCACAGTCAGCAGCGTGACAGGGTTCCCGTGGGAGTCCATGCTTGTCCTTGTAGGGTAGGCTGGGATGGCGTTGGTCCTGTGCACACGGCCGGGGTAGTGCACTGGCAAGATCACCCTCTGCTGCCGGCTGCGTGCAAGGTTGCTGGTCTCCATGCACACAGTACTTGGGTTTCCCTTTTGTTCTGGGGAGAGGCGGGAGAACAAAGTCAGCAGGGCTGAGTACCTGGTACCAGGGGCTAGAGAGATAGACGAGTAAGGGCAAAGACTGAAGCAGCAGGGCTGGTCACATGCCAAGGTGCCTTGGTTCATGCTTTAAGCCGTCATCAAACTTGGCCACACTGGCAGTGGCTGACCCACTTCTCCATCTAAAGGGTAGTCATGGCTATAAGGGCCCATCTCCCTGCTGCTTTGCCCAACAAAGGCACCACAGGAGTTTGCAGAGTGCAACAGGGCGAATAAGATAAAAGGCATGTTCCCTCATGGAAAAACAGCTACCTGGAGTGCACCCTGCGTTCTAGCCCCCTCATTCAATAATATCATATCACCGGGACCAGCGACCCCGGAGCAGCATGGCAACCCTGCCACCTCATACTCATTGTCTCTTGTAGTCTCGGGACAACCCTCTAGTTCCAGGCATGGGCAAGCATTATTAC